TCCAGCCTTGCCTCACTGTCATGTGGATTAAGGGCCCCCTCAACCCCCCGCCACATTTTAAAATGGCTGTGGAGGTGCTTTAACTAAAGCTCATTGAATAAACTTCAGTTAAAGTGCTCCAATGGCAATGTTAAAATATGGGGTGCTTAATACATGTGACGATCAGCCGTTTTAATTAGAGTGGCTCTTGGGGAACCACTCTAATTTAAACAGCTCCTCCCTATCCCTGGTATGTGTATAGGCAACCTTGCTTTAAAAAATGTTAGCCCTAAACCATCATTTTGGGTGTGTGATCCCAATTCTCCAACTAATTGTCAAGGAGAAAAGAATTGTTATTGTCTGCATGACTTCCCTTACTTTCCCGAAAACAAACGTCACAGTAATCTCCCCTTCCAACTGGCTGGGTCATTTTGCAAGCAAATCTCCTAGCATAACAGAGTGGGAGAAGGGGGAAGATGCATCTTCTTCTCCCTGACCAGGTCTACTCTTGCCTCTTTGGCTGGTACAGCTGTGGCCATTGCGCACAGGACTGATGATTATAGGTTTTTAGCTTTTGATGCTGGCTGACACCAGAGCATCATCTCCATCCTATTGACAAAGAAAGGATTTTTGGCAAAACTAATTTGCGTGAAGGAAAGTGTCCCTTTAGCAGTACTAGGTGCCTCAGCCCAGAATGCTGGCCTGGAGAGCTCTCCCCTTTTTGCTGTGCTAGGAAACCTTTCCTCTGTAGCCGGGCCACAGGGTTTGGCTCCAGCAGAGCTGCTAGTGGGTGGTGATGAATGAGACCAATGGAAATCAAAAGAATCCTTTTCCTCCATTTCAGGTTTTTCCGCCAGTGATGCCTCTACAGGGAGATGCCTGGTGGACCAAGCTCAGGGCAATCTTGGCCCAGGGTTTGGCCAGGCAGACATGGACCTTGACATTACTGTGAGCCTTCTGCTGGAGAGACTCCAACAGGAGGAGGTAGGGAAATGGCTCTGTATCACACGGCTGCTCTAAGCATTTTCTTCCAAGCTGTGCAGCATGGGACCCCAAGTAAAACAAGTCTTTTTCCATCTGCTGTGTCTTTTCCATTCCTCCTCTCCTATTAAAGGTCCCAATACAACATGCCCTTGTTATATTGTGATGTCACGATGATATGAGGGCATGCTCACATGGGCATCATCTCCCCCGTCCCAGTGGATGATAGATATGGTATAAGCCACATTCAAACAAGCCCTCGCCCTACAGATAATGCTGTGAGCCTCTTTAGTGTCTTCCTCCAAGTATCTCACAGCACTGAGGTATGAAATCTAGTTTCCCAGCAGCCTTGTGAGACTGGAAAGCCTCAGCCCAGGAAGTGAAGTGACTTGCCCACTGTCCCCCAGCAAGTCAGGAAAAGAACTGGGAATACAGCCAAGGGTGCTGAGCCTTTGTCTAGAGACCCTGGGCAACACATTTTCCCTGCCTGATTTGCTGTCATCCAAGTATGACTCGGCTGGCTTAGCACAACCTGGTTCACAAGTATTTCAACTCCCTTCTTCATTCAGTGACAGAACTAATCACACAATGGTTTTTGGCAACATCTTGCCCAGCAAAGTCCTGCTAAATTTGCTGCTCAGGATCACCCGGCAGCTCCTTGTCACTCCCCTGGCGTCCCCCTCTCTGAAAGAAATGCAAGTCACTCCCACCTCCCCAGTGCACTGGGGTGACAGTGCCTGTGATGCATCTGACTGCTTTTCTGATCATATTTCTGTGTCTCCCACCAGTCTGTTACATTGTGCCCTCACAGTGCCTGACACTCCTCCCTTGTCAGTGCCAGCTGTGAACATCTGCATGAGAGGACAAACGCAAGACACGCTGGGTTGTGTTCCTGTCCAGGAGCAAGGTCCCCACTAGCATGGCTGTAGAAGAATCCCTGGGTAGCTGATGTCCAACATCATAGTCCTGGATGATCTGGCACTGGTCCCAAAGGAAACCCATTGTTCTCTTTCTCGGTGTGTTCCCAGGAGACGAGAGTAACCATTTACTCCAGCCTGCAGGAAGTCTTGCAGGGGGACATAAAGAGCCTGGATAGGAACCTTGTCAGGAGGATCATCCACTTGGCCTCCAAAGACATGAGGGAGACCCAGGTGAGTGAGCTCTGCCCAGTTTCTCCTCACAAGACTTTACTCTATGCATAGTTTGTTTGGTCCAATGTAGCTTGGGCCTATGGTGTATCTCCTGCATGGACCCTGGTTAGAGGCTGCAGGCTTGCTCAAGACAAATCTCCTCCAGATGTTTCTGGAGAGCAGGGACACGATCCAGCCCAGTGTTGAGCGCCTCTGAAACATGGGGCAGCTCGTCTGCTGAGAAAGACCAGAGTGCATAGGTGCTTTGCTGGGGACAGCATTGTCCTGGAAGCTTCCTGGTCCATGCTGAAGCTGTGTGCTACAGCCCAGGTGAATTCTGCAGTTGGCCAGCCAACCAGAGCCGAAACATGGTTCAGCCAAGTGTTTCAGTGGGCATTTATGAGTGAGGGGTCTCATGCAAGGAATTATTAGGGGCATGT